GGTTCTTCTGTTTAAAGATACAATTAGATATTCATATTGTCAATGTAATTGCCTAATTGGGAAACAAATATTTATAACTAAGTGTAGAATCTAATGTTAATGCCTTTATTTTACATGTATAAAAAGTTTTTCTTTTATATTTTTCTTCTTTAAAAATACAAATTTATACTTGTATATTGTCTCTGTTTTTTCCTTTTTTCCTTTAAATTGTTACATTAAGGTATTTTTTTGTGAAAAGAACTAATTATATGCCAATGATATAGATAATCATTAATGAATTGCCTCACAAATTGTACGAGTACCAGTAAATATATAAACAAACACAATAATATGCTTATGTGTATTGTTGTGTCATATGAATGATTAGAAAATTAAATACTTTCTTACCTATGATTTTGTCGATTTACAAGATCGATTCTTTCGTCTAAAGGCACAATTAGATATTCATATTGTCAATGTCATTACCTAATTGGGAAACAAACATTTATAACTAAGTGTAGAATCTAATGTTAATGCCTTTATTTACATGCATAAAAAGTTTTTCTTTTATATTTTTCTTCTTTAAATATACAAATTTATACTTCTATATTTTCTCTGTTTTTTCCTTTAAATTGTTACATTAAGGTATTTTTTGGTGGAAAGTACTAATTATATGCCAATTATATGGATAATCATTAATGAATTGCCTCACAAAATGTACGAGTACCGGTAAATACATAAACAAATGCAATAATGTGATTATATGTGTTGTTGTGTCATATGAATGATTAGAAAGTTAAATACTTTCTTACCTATGATTCTGTCGATTTACAAGATCGGTTTTTCCATCTAAAGGCACAATTATCTTACCATTGGTTTAATGTGTGATGATCCAAAAGGTCATCACTTGATTTTTGAGTCAATTTTGTGTTCTGAGGCCCTAAAAGTCTCCTTTTATCTCACCTCAATTTGTGTGCACGGTCTGAGCGTATATCCGGAATGCTTTTATGTGAAAATTTGATGAAAATGCTAATTTGGTCTTTAAAATTGAATTTAAGTTGACTTTGGTCAATATTTTGGGTAAACGGACTCAGACCTATAATTTGACGGTCCCGGAGGGTCCATAGAAAAATATGGGACTTGGGCGTATGCCCGAAATCGAATTCCGAGGTCCCTCCGAGAAATTAATTTTTGAAGAAAATTGGTTAACTGAAATTTTAAGAGTTTTTGGAAATTCAAATGTATTTGAAATTGATGGTATCAGGCCCGTATTTTGGTTCTGGAGGCCGTACAGGTCTTATATGGTATTTAGGTCGAGCCTGTAAAATTTTGTAAGAAACGGACTTGATATAACGTGAATCGGACCCTCGGTTGTTACAATTTAAACTTAAGAGTTCTTGAGATTCTTCTTTGATTTTGATGCTAAATTTGTCGTTAAAGGTGTTAATTTGGCGATTTCATCGCACGAGTAAGTCCATATGATGTTTTTGAGTTAGTATGCATGTTTGGTTTGGAGCCCCGAGGGCTCAGTGAGTTTCGAATAGGTTTCGGAAGGTTTTTACACTTAAGAAAAGTTGCAAAATTTCTGCTTCAGGTGCACAGATCTTTTGTGCATCGCGATCGCATAGTAACACTCGCGATCGCGAAAGAGAAATTAGGACAAGGGTGGATTTGTTCTTCGCGAACGCAAAGCCACTGTCGCAAACGCGGAGCACTGGGGGGTTGCTCATCGCGAACGCGACTTGTGTGATGCGAACGCGTAGTATAAAATGGAGGTTGGCTGGGGACTTGTCTTTTCTTCTACGCGAACGCGTAATGCTGTCCGCGAACGCGAAGGTCTGGGAGGCTTACCCTTCACGAACGCGTAGAGGAAATCGTGATCGCGTAAGTCCACTTCTGGCAGCTCTTCGCGATAGTGTTCTTGCGAACGCGATGAACACTTTCGCCCAGCACTTAAAACAGTAGCTAAGTCGGGATTTAGCCCATATTTTCATATTTTCAAAACTAGAGAGCATTGAGGCAATTTTCAAGGAACAAGTTCTTCCCCAAAGCATTGGTATATGATTCTAAACCTTATTCTTTCGATTTCCCATTGCATTTCATCAATTTTCATCGAAATATCTAGGGTTTTTATGGTAGAAATTGGGAATTTGGGTAAAGTTAGGGCTTTTTGAATAATTGGAATTTAGACCTCGTTTTGGGGTCGGATTTCGAAACTAATTGCATATTTTGGGCTCGTGGGTAAATGGATAATCGAGTTTTGACCAAGCGGGCTCGGGGTCGATTTTTGACTTTTTGGGGAAAATGATAGAAAACCTATAATTAAGCATTGAGTATGAGTTCTTTAGTATTTATTGATGTTGTTAAATTAATTTGGACTAGATACAAATAATTTGGAGGCGAATTCTAAAGGAAAAGCAGTGTTTGAGGTTTGAGTTGGCCGTAGAAGTTCGAGGTAAGTGTTTGGCCTAACCTTAGCTTGAGGGAATATGTATTGTGCTTTATTTGCTATGTGCTAGTTTAGTGTACGGCGTATAGGTGTGGTGACGAGTACCTATACATTGCTGTCAAGCATACCCGTGAGTCTTAAATTGTGATCGTTGTAGTTCTTAATAATACGAATGCCTAAATTGTTGATCATCCATGTTGAGCAAGATTTATGATTATTTTCTCGATATTTGGTTATTGTTGAGCATTGGCTCTGTTGAAGTTCAATTGTGAAGTTGATTATTGGTACAAGTTTGGTTATAGCTGATTCCCTTGCCGGGACGTATTTAATTCTTATTGTTGATTCCCTTGCCGGGATGTATTTATACTTATTATTGATTCCCTTGCTGGGATATTGTTGTTGCTATTGTTTGGGTGAGGAAAGAGTGATAAAGCACGAAGGGTGATGTCGTGCACATTCATATTTATGCATTTGGTGAGAAAAGAGTGATAAAGCACAAAGGGTGATGTCGTGTACATTTTTATTGATATTGATGCATATGGTGAGGAAGAGAGATAAAGCGCGAAGGGTGATGTCGTGCACATTTTCATTACTTGATTGCATTGGTGAGGATTGAGAGTAAAAGCATGAAGGGTGATGACGTGCACATATTGCCTGTTTGTTATGACTTCTTGTTGTTTTCGGTTCAAATATCTTAACTGCCTTATTCCACCATTACTGTGATTCTCTGTGTTGGTATTTCCTCATAGCATGTTACCCCTCCCCCGTTACTTTTGAATTACTTTTATTACTGTTGTTCTGTTAGATACTGTTTAGCTGCAGGTTATTGGTTTGTTGTGTCCTAGCTTTGTCACTACTTCACCGAGGTTAGGCTCGACACTTACCAGCACATGGGGTTGGTTGTGCTGATACTACACTCTGCACTTTTTTGTGTAGATCCCGGTACTGGAGTACATACCATAGCTTGGGGTTGCTGCCTTCAGTCCATCAGGAGACCCGAGGTAGTCCTGCAGGCGTTCGTAGGCCTTGGAGTCCCCTCCCTATCTAGTTTTCATCTGTTCTTTACTATTTCAGAGACAGACATGTACTTTCTTTTTCAGACTTCATTTGTAGTTTTCTTAGATAGTCCGTGAGATTGTGACACCAGTTCTGGGTGATTTATGTTGTAGATTCGTATTGGTATTAGCTAAATTGTTACATTTCATCCTTCAGCTTTATTAATTTCCGCTGTTTATAAATGTTAATTTACAATTGTTAATGGATTAAAAATGAAAAGGGTAAAATAATTGGTTTGCCTAGCTTTCACTAGTAGGCGTCATCACGACTTCCGAGGGTGGGAAGTTCGGATCGTGACATAATGGTTATTTGATATTTGGTAGCTTTTACTTTGATAATTTTTCGCAAAAGAAAAAGGTGAATATTTCTATCATGCAAGAGAAATAAATAAATGAATATAGGAATAGTATATGTGAGAGAATAAGACAGTGTTAGAAAATGATTTATTTTTTTATTGCAATTTTAAAAAACTTAAAAAGATGTTACTATGTGTTAATGAAATAGGATAAGGATGTACGGAAAATCGCTATAATCAGTGGATGGTTAAAAATATATATGATGCACCATAAGGTAGTGTAACATCTCTCTTAAAAGAAATAATTTCTGTTTCTTTTTTCTTCCTCTTTCAAGGCACCTCTAGCATTAATACGAAAAGAAAAAAATTTCTTTCAATGGAAACAACTATGTATTTTGTGAATCATTTAATCCAGTGGTATTGTATTTCATTTCTATTAGTTAAATTGAATAGTTTCAAATCATCTTATATTTGATTATAATTAAAAAAATCAGAATCAATTACAATTAATTAAAGAGTGCATCAATTAGTAATATTTTTTTGAAAAGAAAAAAGGAATAGTGCAATAGTTACTACTCACTAACACCTATATGAGCATATAAGTCATTCGTCCTTGACATGATAAATGCCATTTTTCTATTTAAGAGTTTAATGAAATTAATATTAGTTGTTTCTCTTTTATAGTCTAAAGAAAGCTTAGTGGTGAATGAGTTTCTACTGATATATTTTCAAGTCTAAATGTTTCGCTTTATCAGACAATAATTATCTCTTTAGGATAACAACATTATCTTTGAAATTGATGATATGGAATGTTTTGGAGCTAATTAGAAAAAAATATATTTATAAAGAAATATATACACATGAAAAGTTAATCTACTCTATCCCGGGTAAATTTACAATAAGATCGTATTGTAATTGAATTTTTTTTTATAATCGTGCGAAGCGCGAACAAATTGACTAGTGATAAATAAAGTATCTGCTTTACCATAATACCCAGAATAATAATAGCATTTTAAGAGGTCGTGAGAAATAATTTGGGGAATAAGTAGTTAATGATAATAGTAAGACAAAAAAAAACATTTGGTTTTAATCATGATTTGCTAAAATTAAAAATTACTAAAAATGAAAATATATTTTTAGTATATTGGACAAGGAAAATTAATTTATAAATAAGTTGATTGTATAACACTAGATTACAGCATGTCATCTTACCATTTGTAATTGGGAAGCACTGCAGGTGACAGATGATGACAAAGGCGATACACATGAAACAGTACGTGACAAATCCATCAATTTTCAATTCAATCATCCCCATAGCTCGGCAATTTTTTTCTACGTCAAGTGCAGTATCAGCCTTAGAATCAGAAACTGGACCGGTACAAAAACGTTTTGGTTCATTTATTGGTGTTATACAAGACAAAGATCTTCTAAAAAAGGCTCCAAATGGGGAACTTTTAGTACTGTATCTTATTGACAATGGCGCAATGGACCCGGATGCCAGTTTATATAACCAGCTACTGAAAAAATGTACGGAATGGAAGCGGCTTAAAGAAGGCAAAGTGGTTCATGAACACTTCCTGAGGTCGAGGTTTAGAAATTATGTTGTTCCGAATAACACGTTGATTAATATGTATGCGAAGTGTGAAAGCATGGATGGTGCTCGCAAGGTGTTTGATGAAATGCCTGAGAGAGATATGGTTTCTTGGACTGCGTTAATTACTGGGTATTCGCAGAATGAGGGTGCTGAGGAGGCCTTGGTTTTGTTTTGTGAGATGGTGAAGTTTGGGTTTATGCCGAATCAGTTTACTTTTGGCAGTGTTCTCAAGGCTTCCGGGGCATTGGACAGTGGTGGAACTGGCAGGCAAGTACACGGGGCGTGTGTGAAGTTTGGATACGAGGAGAATGTGTATGTTGGGAGTGCTCTTGTGGATATGTATGCAAGGTGTGGACTAATGGACGAAGCGAAAATTGTGTTTGACAAGTTAAGTTGCAAGAATGAGGTTTCTTGGAATGCTTTGATTGCTGGGCATGCTAGGAAAAGTGAGGGAGAAATTGCTGTGAAGCTTTTCTCTGTGATGACAAGAGGCGGTTTTCAGCCGACCCACTTTACATTTTCAAGTGTTTATGCAGCCTGTGCAAGCATTGGAGCTCTAGAGCCCGGGAAATGGGTGCATGTGCATATGATCAAGTCAGGGTTGGAACTTATTGCTTTTATTGGGAATACTCTGCTTGATATGTATGCTAAGTCTGGTAGCATTGATGATGCCCGAAAGGTTTTTGATAGGTTGGTGCAAAAGGATGTAGTCTCTTGGAACTCAATGCTTACGGCCTATGCTCAGCATGGACTCGGAAAAGAAACTGTAGAATGTTTTGAGGAAATGCGTAGGATAGGACCTGAACCTAATGAAGTGACTTTTCTTTGCGCTCTTACAGCTTGTAGTCATGCTGGTCTTCTAGACAAAGGAATGCATTATTTTGAGTTGATGAAGAAATTTAAGATAGAGCCTAATATTTCACATTATGTGACCATTGTAGATCTACTTGGTCGATCAGGTCAACTTGACCGTGCTGAAAAATTCATAAATGAAATGCCAATTCAACCAAATGCAGCTGTTTGGAAAGCTTTGCTTGGAGCTTGTAGGATGCATAAAAACTTGGAATTGGGTGTTTATGCAGCTGAATGTGTGTTTGAACTTGATCCCTATGATTCAGGGCCACATATTTTGCTGTCTAACATCTATGCTTCTGCTGGTAGGAGAAGTGATGCTGCAAAAGTTAGAAAAATGATGAACGAGGGTGGAATCAAGAAAGAACCTGCTTGTAGTTGGGTGGAGATTGAGAATGCTGTTCATATGTTTGTAGCAAATGATGTTGCCCATCCGCAGAGAGAGGAGATCCGTAACATGTGGGAGAAGATAACTGATAAAATCAAGGAAATTGGCTATGTCCCCGACACTAGCCACGTGCTTTGGTTTACGGATCAGCAGGAGAGGGAAGAGAGATTGCAATACCATAGTGAACGACTTGCTTTAGCATTTGCTCTTCTCAATTCTCCACCTGGATCCCCTATCCGTATAAAGAAGAACATCAGAGTTTGTGGTGATTGCCATACTGCATTTAAGTTTGCTTCAAAAGTGGTGAATAGGGAAATCATCTTGAGAGACACAAATCGGTTCCATCATTTTCATAATGGTTCTTGTTCTTGTGGAGACTACTGGTAGTGCAAAAATAATCTCCACATATATGCAATGGTTAACTATCAAAGGCTCGTTTAAATTAGCTGTGGTAATGTGAAATCATTCTGGACTTGACTATCATGTAGGACAAGGTTGGGATGGGATGATGCATGTTTTCTTACCAAAATTGCTTGTTGGCATATACACAAGCATCCTTTATATATGCAGTCATCCATCAAATGTACTAGAAGATTCTTTTTTGCCTTATAAGGCTGGTTCTGACTACTTTATTGCTTTCTAGCACATGGTTAGAAGCAGGTTACTCTCATAGTCTCTGCCTCTCTGAATAGCGCAGGAGTAACAACATAATGGCCAGAGGTTCTGGAAAATACTGGTGCCAATTGCCGATGATTTTTGCGCTTGTTGCGAGATGATTTTGCCACTTTTTGAGAGAAACTCAAGACTATCTTGCAGATTCTCTAGGGAAGCATCTAGGTATGAGCTGAAGGGACCTTTACCCGGAAAGACAGCTTGATATTTTATCTACATTTCATTTTCTTAAACTGCAAATATTCACAGTAGTGACTATGTACCTAGTTCCTACCAGGTGAAGGAAAATTTGTATTCTGTCCCTAAAGTTTAAGTACCTTGAGCTCTACCTGCTGTGTTTTGAGAGTGTGTTACATTTTCTACCCCACTTTTTCTCTTCGTGTTCAGGCATACAGTTACACATGTCAGACATTTATATGAAACTCAGGGTCTACTCAATCATGCATTAAGGTCTTGTGATATACAATCTTTTTGGTAATATCACATACGATGCTTCATGTGCAGATTTCTTAACAACATGGGTCGAACTCTCTCACAGAATTTCCCATAAAGGAGTTATTTCAGTTCTTAAAAAGCCTGTTAACACTACATTTGCTCGGAATCCACTCAGAAAGTGGAAAGGCCACTTTGTTTTCATCTGTCTTGTGTATATCTGGTTTTTGTGCTGTGTTGGTTCCTCATCAATGACGTCAATTGTGTTACTTGGTGCTGCATACTGACGTTTATGATTTTTAACTGTCAAAATAAACAGAAATGAGTTAACGCTGCTCTCTTGAAGTTCAGGAACAATACAGTTACAGGAGAACTTGATAATGGGGTAGCAGTGCAGCAATGCAACTCTGAAATGCTGAAAACCTTCTCAAAATTCTTCTGGGATGTGTAGGTAGCCAAAGCCTTGAGAATGGCCCAAGAGCATGGTTCGTGAAGGAACTATGGTGGAGGCCAATATATTCTGGAAATATTGTATAGCACATGGTGAAGCAGACCAAAGTTGAGAATCTTGATGTTGAATGTGAGACTGGAGTATGATGAAGGTAAGACAACCATCTTGGACCCTGAATTGCAAATTAGGTCAACGATTCCTGGGTTAATTTAGCCCTTGTTACTAGGCTGAATGTCACAGAGAGCTTAAGATTCTAACGTCAGCAAGTAGAAAACACCAGCAGGTTCTTGATATTTTGTGTCTAACCATTTCCAATTACTTTCCCTCAAAGGAAAACGAAAACATTGAGATCTATTCTGTGAAAACTCTTTGATCTTTCCTTTTCAGCGCACCTCTCCTAATTCCTTTACGTTACAATTAGTTTACTCTGCTCTGTAATTTCCAGAATAATTTTGTTAGTCATTGTGATAGTATTTGTATCAAATGAAAACAGGACAGCTTGAAATAAAAGAAACTATAGCTACAGGGCTAGGCTAATGCGAGTATGATATGATCATCCCAATTATGCTTTCCTGGATTATATCATATGCATTTCGATTTTTGAATGGGGTTTTGCTGATCGAGATGCAGAGAAGATGGAAGGATGTGGCAAAGAGGAGAAGATCCTTCACCAGATCGTGTCAAAGAAGCTTATCGCTTATCTATGTTTGGATTGTGACAGAACAAACCCAAGTGCTTGTAGTGACAAAGTTGTTGTTCATGATTTCATGACATAACCCTTTATGTTCCATGCAGCCCAAGAAAGCAAGAAATGTTGTAGAGTAACTCACTCAACGAACGCGCTTTCCCTTCCAGCCAGAAGTTGATGAAACTAAGCATGCTCGTGTAAATTTTCCATTCAAGTACATTTACTGTTACTAGAATTTGACGTGGTAACAAGCACAGAAGGGTAACAAGGAGGTTATTTAGGGTATCATCAGAGATTTTATCATTGTAAGTAGCTATTCCGAGGTTCTTTTGGTTTTTAGATGATTAATATAATTTAAGTCATGTATAAAGGTTTGAATTATTACCCAAACATTTCTCAGTGAGGTAATTATTTTAATGATTATTGAGTAATTGCTTGTCTAAATAGAATCCGCATTGTTCTGCTCGGAGTGACATTGATAATATAGTGGAGTAGTTATTGCCTTATTTGTTTCCTTTAAGTCCCAGATTGTGGGTTTCTATCTGTTGTTGCTAATGTGTGAGCAAAGTTCTTAATTTGCAAATGAACAGCGGCTAGTGATATAGCAAAGAATGTACGGTCTGTTTTTCATTTTTTTTCCTTTCAGTTTGCTGTTTTTCAACTTGACTGGCACTTTTGATATTTTACTGTTCTAAATCTCTCTATATCACTCTTCACTCTCCACCCAAAATTGCTATCAGTTATTCAGAATCAATTAATTTTGAGGGAGTCAATTAACCTTGAGGCAGATAATTTAAGAAAATTTCTTACTTCTGATGTTTTGAAAATTCAACTTGCAATATTTTTGAATTTTACTGTATATCTCTAAATAGTCTAGATATAGCAAATTGAATAATAGTCGATTTCAACTAACTTTTATAATCTAGATGTAGCAAGTTGGTTACTATATAGTCACATTTATATGCATCATTTTTGAGATATTAACACCTAGGCACACAGCCGGGTGGTTTTGTTTTCTTAAAAAAAAAAAAACTAACTTGAGATTGAGGCATAATAGTGATTATATTATATCACTGTATATTTTAAGTGCAAACAGCGCGTTACTCGTAGCAATTAGTATATACGATTAGAGAAGCAAAATATGTAAAACTAAATACAGAGCCAACCCGGCCCAAACATCCGCAAACCATCCAGTCGTATTGTATACAATTCAGTCCTTGACACCATACTCTTTCGTTACCGAGAATTTAAAAGTTTTCTCCCCTAGAGTATAATAATAGCAAATCATATAGAAACGCCGCGCTTGACTATTCTGAATTCATTGGGCAGTCGCTCTAGCTCTAGCAACGGTATCTCTCCGTACACCTCATCTGAAATGCTCCATGTACAAATGCCAAAGGATCCATACAACCCAACACTGGGTCAAAACTGCTACCTGGATATTCAAATTTTTTTCTCCAGGAACCACGTTTTAGCGTGAGAATTTCAATGTATACTTGATTAGAATAGATAATCTTAATGATCTTGTAGTCATCACTAGTTGCGTCATACCCCAATCCACAACAAGTGTAATTTCTGAACGGGGAAGTTCTATTGATTCTCTTGTGGAAGGGTTCCACAACAAAAGTTGTTCATCAATCGCGAGAAGAACAATACATTCTGCAGTCGCATGGTTTGCAATTTGAAGGACAATCAAGTTTTTGTACATCCTCAACAAGTTGAACCCATGATAAAGAAGAACAATACAAGTTATACATTAGTTTACCAATGCGCTGTTGGCTAACGAGAAGCTTTTTGGAATTTAAGTCATTCATAGCATGACTTTGATGCTTCTTCTTAAAGTAAGACTCGGAGATTAATTTGCAACACATTTGAATCGAAGAAGAGACCGCACGGGTAACCTGCTGAGGATGTCCATAATTATTTCCTCTTGAAAGTGAACTCCCATGACCTAGATAGGACAAAGCAACTGCTTTAGTAGTTCACAGGTTGGAGATATTAAGTCTTTCGGGCATACAAACAAAAGATCCAGCGTAATTTTACAAGTGGAGTCTGGGAAGTCTAGTGTATACGCAGACTTTACTCTTACGTTTAATAAGGCAGAGAGGCTATTTCCGAAAGACCCTCGGCTCAAAGAGCACACTTTTATACAAAAACCTACAACAAATATTAAAGAAGAAAGCTACAGCAGTGTATTGGGAAAAATTGCATTTATATATGTAAGTGACATGTTGAGACACGTGGACTGGTCAAATAGTCAAAGAATTATAATTAGTCAAGTGGCACGGGCAGCAATAGAAATGAGCAAAGGCAAAGGAAGAGGCACGGGAGGACATTTGAAGGATTCAGCGCCCGTACCTATTTAAGTCATTTATCAAAAGAAATGGATCTGACCATAATAAAGAGCGCAGATACGAAATTCGACAGGCATTAAATACTGGATACGTTAGAGAATTTGTATTGATTACAATGATTGTGTAACGTAGCATTCAATGTCTTTAATTATTCATAATAGCCTCATTATGATTTGGAGGAAACGCATATCTTCAAGATACCTATAAAAGGGAGGTATCTGGTCACTTGTAAACACAAGACACAATTGGAATATACTTTGATTCACTTGTTTTTCTCCTGATTACACTCTGGTTACTCCAAATTACTTTCTTCTACATATTCTTTTGATTATCAGTAACCCGTGTTCTTCTAAATTCTAGCTTTGACTGAAATTCTATTTTTTGGTTAAACAAATTGGTTCCATTACCGGAAATCTGATAATCTATTTTCTTTTCACTTGACCTTCCTTGTTACATCAATTATGTCGAATAACAATGACAACACCCCAGGAAACCAAGAGAACCAACAAAGTCAGGGAGGCCCACAGAATATTAACATTCAAGTTCCTACTCCGCAGGACTCTCCACGGCAATCTCGTGAGGGTACTCCTGATGGATCTCAAATAAACGAGTATGCTCAATTTGAAAATGCTGAAGCTGTTGATGAAGCTTTGCAGAAATTAATTATTGCTCAGGTCAACAAAGCTGTTGAGGCACTTGTTAACCAGTTACCTGTTGCAACACCCACACCTTCTCCAAATAATAACATTATAGAAAACCCTCGTTCCAGCTTGTTAACTCAGGCAGCGGTGGACCTCCCAGTAAACCACAGGAGAGAGAACCAGGTAATGTAATTAATTCTGATTTATAAAATTTAGTACTAACCTTGCAGAAACAGCTCAAGGAGCAAAGTGAACGCATAGAGCAGATACCCGGGGTGCCGCCCATAATCAAAAGGGTAGACATAGACAGATATTCGCAACAACCCTGGAAGCCAAGTGCTGCCCCAATCCCAATTCCAAAAAAGTTCAAAATGTCTGATATTCCAAAGCATGATGGAACAACAGACCCACGAGACCACGTGACTGCATTCACAACGGGCGTAAAAAGGTAATGATTTGACTAAGCAGGAGATCGAATCGGTATTAGTCAAGAAATTTGGTGAAACACTCACCAAAGGAGCACTAACATGGTATTCCCTTTTACCTGAAAATTCTATAAACTCTTTTGCTGAGCTTGCAGATTCTTTCATCAAAGCACATCGGAAGTCCAAAAAAGTGAAAAAAAGAATGGAGGATATTTTCAAAATCAAGCAAGGAGATTCAGAATTGCTTAGAGAATTCGTGGACAGATTTCAACGCGAAAGAATGACATTGCCGCGTGTACCTGATAACTGGGCAGCTATAGCTTTCACAAGCAATTTGAATGAAAAAAGCTCGGAAGCTACGAGGAGACTCAAGGAAAGCCTTCGAGAATTCCCAGCTACAACGTGGAATGATGTTTATAACAGGTATAGCACGAAGTTGAGGATTGAGGAAGATACTGTTCCACGATCTCAAAAAGAAGAAAGTATACGTTCAAGACGTGCAGAGAACGAAAAAAGATCTGGTAAAAACAGGTACGAGCCCTATATGGGATCTGCGAGGAAAGACTCACGGTCAAAACAGGATAATCAAAGGCACGATCACAGATCAAGAAACAGAGAATCAAGTTCTTCATCAAGATTTAGAAACGAGCGAAACGACTATGAGTCACGGGATGATGATAGAAATTTAAAAGCAAGATTCGGAGGTTACAACTTCAACGTCAGCACCTCCAAGCTCGTAGCTGTTTTGAAAATCATGGGAGATAAGGTTCGATGGCCAAAGGAAATGAGATCGAATCCAAACAGGTGCAACCCTGACCATTGGTGCGAGTTCCATAATGATCACAGGCATAAAACAACAGATTGCAGATTTTTACAAAGTGAAGTTGATCATTTATTAAAACAAGGATATCTTACTGAGTTGTTCCGCGATAAAGGCAAGCAAGCTTACATGAAGAACAGGCAGGAGCCTCCAAAACCACCTTCTCCCAAAAGAACTGTTAACGTTATAAGTGGGGTGAAGACATCAATGGTGTGTCGTATACTGCAGCTAACAAAACTTCCAAAGTAACTATTACCCAAGGGAAACGGGTGAGGCATGTTTTAGAAGAAGGCAATATTACATTCAATGATGCAGATACAGATGGCGTATTAATCCCTCATAACGATGCACTGGTAATATCTTTAATTGTGCATGATACTAATGTGAAACGAGTTTTGATTAATCCAGGTAGTTTCGTGAACATTATTTTGCTAAGAGTGTTACGTGAGATGCAAACTGAAGATAAAGTAATACCAAAGGCGCATACTCTATCTGGATTTGATAATTCCAGTATCGTCACGAAAGGAGAGGTAACACTCACCACTTTTGCTGAAGGGGTCGTCAAAGATACAAAGTTCCAGGTAGTAGACATGGAGATGGATTACAACATGATTCTGGGGAGACCATAGATCCATGAAATGGATGTTGTTCCTTCAACCTTGCATCAAGTTATCAAATTTCCATCGCCATGGGGAATTTGTCAAATTCGCGGAGATCAACATACATCCAGGGCTATTAACTCCGTTGCAGATACAAGCATGAGAAGTGGAGACAAATAGCAATCACAGAAGGTAGTTGAGGACATCACAACTCAAACCTCAACTGAACAAGGGCGAACAGATGTAGACTCAAGGCCTGATACCATTCAAGAACCAGAAGAGAATGAAGATATCAAAACAACGATAGATGAATTAGAACCTGTCATGTTATTCGCTCAATGGCCTGATAAAAAAGTCTATGTCGAAGCTAATCTTGACCAAGGAATAAAAGGTAAGTTAATTGAATTTTTGAAAACTAACATGGACTGCTTTGCTTGGTCCCACTCCGATATGACAGGAATACTACCGGAGGTGATTACTCATAAACTAAATGAAGATCCATCATATCCTTCTATGAAGCAAAAGAAAAGAAAGCAGGGAACTTTTGAAGAATCAGGTGATTCAAGAAGAAGTCCAAAAATTGCGAAAAATTGGTTCCATTCGAGAGGTAAAATATCCTAACTGGTTAGCCAATACTGTTGTGGTTCCAAAGAAAAATGGTAAGTGGAGGGTTTG